TTTTGAGTCGATAATCCATAGTGATGTTGTAGAAATTCATAATTATATACGTTGGCTTAATAAAAGTCGTCACTCTGTGCCCGTCGGCATAATAATCTCCTTATGACTCCCAATCGTTGTATCAATGATCAATAGAGGATATCGCCAAACCCTTTTTAAAGGAAAGCCCGTCGGCCCACCATCCTGTACAAGTCAAGTTAATCTCCAACCAACGGTTCAACCAGCAGTCTTCACTTGTCTTTCAGTAACAATAATAATAATTCAATCATATATTTACATTTATATGCATATACAATCATTCAAATCATCAATTCAGAAAATCAGAAGTCGTACGAGAAATCGGCGGCATAACGGCAGTACACGGAATGTATACATAAATCACAAAATCAGAAAATCACCAAATTACTAGAAATCATGTAAAACAATGTTACAAAGCTTTACTTGTACTGAAGCAATAATTTCCAACAACTAGATAATTTTTCTATTTGATAAAAATCGCATAAAACTCAAAATAACCAGTAGAAACTTTACAGAAAATACTCAAATCATGTAAAAATATCATATCATAAACATATCAAAAATTGTGCGGTAAAACTTTCGTCAATAAAAAATTATGCGCGTTTTTCGGTAACAAAAATACAAAACTGAGCACAGAATTATCAAAACTCGAAATCTTCAAAATCAGAAATAGGATTCAGAGTCCTTACTGTGAGACAAACAAATCTTCCAACTGCGTCGTCGGACGAAAAGCGCTCTGCGGGCTCCAAAACCAAGCTTCTTCTTCTCTTTCCTTCTCTTTCTCTCTCCTGCCTCTTTCTCTCTCTTCAAAATATTTCCAAAATATCTCAAATCTGATACTTATCAAGCAGGATCGTCCAGGACGATGCCCAGATCATTCCGGGACGAACTCCTCTGGACACAGATCGTACAGATGAAATTAATTTCAATTTGTTTCGTCCCTGGACGATGCTCTCGGGTTCAGTTCGTCCCGACAGTTCGTCCCGACTGTTCCAGGTTCGTACAGACGAAACATACAGATTTCTTCACAATTTCTTCAGTTTGTCCCGTACTAAGGCCAGTTCGTCCGGGACTAACAACACTAAAAAAATCAGCTTTGGAGGGGTTTTACATTGAGTTTATAATAAACTATACATGAAAGCTTTCACTCACTTTCATTTTCATAGTATTCAATCTTGCTGCTATATTAGTCATTTCAATAATGTGCTCATAAATAGTACGAGAACCATCAAATTTCATGGTGGTTAACATACCCATTAAAGTCCCAGCACGTAACTTATCAGCAGTCTTAGGTTGAGATATATTCTCCACAGACTTCATGAATTCTTTAGCATTATATGTTATTGAAAGTGTTGGCTTAATAATGCCAACTATAATCATTCGCATAAACATTAGGCTTAATCTATTTGATCTTTCCCAAGTTTCATGAAAAGATCTTTCTTCAATACTGCTTGTATCAATAAGAACAGTAGGCTTATCAGTAAGTAGTGCAAAATTCAGATCCAAAACTCCTAAATGAAACTGGATTTGTTCACTCCATTCAGAATAATTAAGCCCATTGAATTTATAATAGATGAAGCTTGCGAATGAAGAATTACAGAATTAGATGCTGCAAAAATAAAATACAAGACTCACATATCGATGATTTGAAAATTAAATTCAAAATATAAAACAGATTCAGATAACATTGTTGACCTCATTTTTGTATGAGGTCATTAAGGATCCATCCAGATTCCAGATCAATCCTGATCCCAAGTCAATCCATATCTAAATTCAATTCAAGCCTCAATGAAAATCTAAAATCCAACCCAGTTCAGAACTCAGACTCCAGTTCAGGTATTGATCCTACCTGTGAGTTAGCTCTGATCCTATCTCGTCATTAATGATCACCCAAATGATTATAGATGATTTGGATACTCAAACTTTATCAATCAAACTCAAAATCCAGATCAATTCCAAAATCCAGACTCAAATCCAAAGTCCAGAAGTCTTGTCCTAAAGGCCTTTTCGAGTGAAATTTTAAACACTTTGAAACTCAGTCTAATGACCTCTGATTTAGAGTCTGTCAGTTTTATACTGATGGGACATGTCTCTAGAGGATAACCTCCAAATTTGAGCTCATTTTGAGGTCTCTAACCCCAAAAGCTAAATCAAAATTCAAAGGTTGTAAATCCTTCAAATATTTACAGTATATGCCACTGGACTTGCCATTAAGAAGATTCTGACCTTAGAGCCCTTACCAAAGCCTCTAGTCACTTCCAGACCATTAATCCAGACCTATTGAACAATAAACTGTATTTTTCTGGACTCATTTCAGCCCCTAGTGGTCATGAGGTCAAAATGACCAAAATACCCCTTTGGGGTATGAATAGTCGTTTTGAATCAAACGAGCTCCAAATTGAATGCAACTACGTCCAGCAAGTTTCAAATATCAAACCCAACCTGTCAGACCCAATCCAGGCCAGGGTAAGTCCAGATTTGCATTGCATTAGCTAGGTTCGGGTCACTTTTTAGTACCCAATTTAGACTTAGGTTATGAGGCTAGCTCGGGCTATAAGACCTCAACCTCAAGAAATTGAATCCCAATTTTCTAATAAAATTAACATTAAATCACTTTCAATCAAAGTCGAGCCCCAACACTTAGGATAGGCTGGAGTGTTTTCTAAATTATTTAAGAATCTTAAAAACACTTCCTACATGCACTTCTTCCTTCGACTCCAGAAATAAATGTTCAAATTTGATCCAACCCCAATTAAAAATTCCAACATTTATCTCCTTTGACATCGATCTTTAAAAATCCTAAATAAAATTTCTACCGCTATTTTAATTGAGAGTATTCGTAGGAAAACTCCGGTTTCCCTACAATGTAATTAACTACAAGGGCTTGCGCTCGTAGGAGATTTAGAAATCCATACCTGATTTTCAAAATCAATTTTTCAAAATCTCCAATTAATTTTTTTTGGAAAAATCAAACCCGACGATCATTATCATCATTTTCGAACGATCCATAATAATTGATATCTTCTTTCTTTGGAGAGATATATCAATTATTATCGTGGTTTTGATTATGAAATTATTGATCTTTTATTCGAATTAGAATAATCAAACAATTGGTTAAATTCCATTTTGATCTTCCGGGATCGAATGCAATTCTCCCTTTGAATTTGACTACAATAATTCGGATAAGATTATAATTCTGAAATTTGAACCCGTTAGGGAACGATACGTTCGTCTTTCAAGGCGATATATTGTTCATAATGACGTGTACTATTTCAAAATTTAAGATTAAATATTCTCAAAGAAAATTAATACATTTTTCGAAAACTATATTTTTTTAATCAAAACAAATATTCAGGTAATCAGTAAAATGTATATTATAGTTCTCCTTTAGGTGATACTATAATATACAATGATAATCATAATTGATGCTTAAAATAAAATTCTAATAATTGATAATTATACATACTTCAATTAAATATATTTGCTATATTTGGATATACTAAATATATTTAATTATGCATGACAATTTATCACAATTATATCTAATAGTACAAAATAACTAATCAACCTTTAAGCGATTCTTAAATATTTTATAGCAATTGAATGTTAATTACTCGTGATAAAAATTTTATAAAATATTATGTCATTCTGTTAATAGCATCGCATACTCACGAGTAATTAAATATTATCTAATTAATATTTATGAAAACTTTATAGTTTGACCACTTTGGTGATTAACAAACTATGCTTGATATAAATATTAAATTAAATAATTATGACAATAATTTATTTCAAGTAAAAGAAATTTCTTAATGTATATACTTACATATATGAACAAAATTTATTTAAAAGTAAAACCGAATTTACGTCATTAACTTTCATATGACAAATCCTTTCATAATGAAATAAATAACATAAATTATTTCCAAAAGCAAAATAAAAATATAATTAATTTGCCATGAATTAATCATAACAAAATATGATTCGATAATAGATACAATAATTGAAATCGATAATAAATCACATAAATTCAATTTCATTAGAAAGAAACGTCATAGAATTTAAACAAAACCTAAACAAAAAATCACAAGTTTTCAACCATGCTCTGATACCACATGTAAAAATTTAATAGAGTTCTTAAAATTTCTTGCAAGAACTTACTTGCTTATACGATTCAAGTTCTCAAATTCATAAAAGAACTTCTTCATGATTAAGTTCTCTAATTTTTACAAGAACTCCTAACATGCATTATGAGTTCTCTAATTCTTACAAGAACTCACATTATAAATTATGTAAAAGAAATCGAAACGAAAAACTTTAATTTACATAAGTCTTAAATCCTCAAGATCTTAAATAAAATGATTTTTCACAATCCTTTAATTAAAAGAAAAAACTAATTCCTATGGGATTCCTCTCCTTTAGAATCAAAATCCAGACTTGAT